AGCCTCCCCAAAGACCAGAAATTCTTTAAGGTTACTTTCCTGGGGACGCCTGGGTGGCTCAGTCGATAAGCGTCTGCCTTCGGCTCAGGTCATGATCCCAGGGTCCTGGGATTGAGTCCCGAGTTGGGCTCCCTGCTCAGTGAGGAGCCTGCTTCTCCCTCTCCCTCTGCTGCTCCCCCTGCTTGTGCTCTCTCTCTCTCTCTCTGACAAATAAATAAATAAAAATCTTAAAAAAAAAAATTACTTTTCTGTTTGTCCTGATGAGTGTCTCCCCAATTCCTTTTCTTTGTATTAGTTGAAGAGCATTGGTTTGAGGTAAAACTGAGGGCCACTTGCTCAGGTTGCTGGTTGCTTCTGAATTAACAAAAGTTTTTACACCCAAACACACAAAACCTTATAGTAAAATCCAACACAGGTCAGCAGTTCTTACCATTTTGACCCTGCTCTCATGGTAGTAGGAGAATATGAAACAGGCCACAGGAGAAAGTCTAATGAGGAAGAATTCCCTTGGCAACCTCTATCATCAAAATATTTGAATTTGTCCTCCCAAAATGAGGACCCTTAGTGATCTTTAGTAGCTCTGGAGGAATTTGATTTATCTGAAGAATAAAACTAGGTTAAAAAAAATTTTTTTTTTTTTCCAAAAGAAAAGAGAGTATCAGACAGCCAAGTCACTGGAGACCAACAGAAACACTGAGGTCTGAGGCAGGAGAACATTCTCAGAAGGAACTCTTGGGTGTGAAGAAAACAGCGACCACAAAGAAAAGATCAACTCAGCCCTGCAGCTTCAAAAAGGAGGGCAAACCAAGGGGAATTCTGAGGGTGAGATGTATAACGGATTGAGAAACTTCATCATAAAAGTGACTGAATTTGAAGATATCAAGGGGAGGTAAGGCAGAGAAAACTTAATCAAAAGAAGCTATGCTTTTCTGCACAGAGAAAGCACACAATTTTTTGGAAAGGCCCAAACGTCATGAGGAAAGGGTTATTATTATTGTTTGTTCTTTCCTATCACAGCAGCCTAGCTGGAAAGCGATAGAGTCAGCTAGAAAAACACAATGCAGCCTTCTGTTCTAGGGGAAATGGAAACAAAAAAAGAGGTCCAAGGTTGCCTCCTTCTTACCCACTCTGGAGGCACATTTTTATACCATTGTTGGACTTTGCGGTTTTCTTCTGGTTGCCATGGCATCAGAGAGACAAATGCCTTGCTTCCATTTTAAAGCTGAGTTCTCTTATAAACAAAATTGTTTCCATTTGAGATAGTCTCACCCTCATGCTCCACCAAAACTGCTTTCAAAAGAACGTATCTTTTTAAAATATAGATGAAATTCATTGCATCCTTCTGATGACAGGGGAAAAAAAAACACATTTTTCTTTTAAAAAATTAGAAAGTGCAGAAAAATATTTTTTAAATGAAATAGAATTGCCCTATGAGCTCTTGGCCTACAGATGATCAATAATTCACATTTTGGCATATTCATTTCAGGTCTTTCCTCTATGTGTGCATATATATATATTTATTTTATATTATATGGTATATAATTGCCGCCCTGTTATGTATATAGTTGTGCAAGTTCTTTTTTCTTTATATCCTATAGATGCACTCTCCTGAAGCAGGAATAGAAAACCCAGATAGGTCCTTATAGACCTTTAACATTTTCTTCATTTGAATCCTACATATTCTTATCAAAGGAGAATTTAATAAGACAGCAGCTTAGCCTTTATGTCCCCATGAATCTAAAAGTTTATGAAAAGTTAGCAGCAGGGAAGCATGACTTAACTGTGTTCAGAAATGCTTGCAGTGGCCATTTGCTTTCCATTAATTCACACCACTAAAGAGGGAATACAGATAGCATCATACGTTATCCTGGGTTTGTTTGAGCAACAAAAAAATCTGAGGAGGTAACTATAAAATGTCATGATTTTTCTTTCAATAATTACATTTTCTCTACAAGTACCAGAATACTTTACAGTTAGTAATTCATTAGCCCATTCATTCTTTTTTTTTTTTTTAAGATTTTATTTATTTATTTGACAGAGACAGAGACAGCGAGAGCAGGAACACAAGCAGGGGGAGTGGGAGAGGGAGAAGCAGGCTCCCCGCCGAGCCGGGAGGCCGATGTGGGACTCGATCCCAGGACCCTGGGATCATGACCTGAGCTGAAGGCAGTCACTTAACCAACTGAGCCACCCAGGCGCCCCTCATTCTTTTTTTTTTAAAGATTTTTATTTATGTATTTGAAAGAGAGAGAGAGAACCAACTGGGGGGAGGGGGTGGGCAGAGGGACAAGCAGACTCCCCCGCTCAGTGGGGAGCCCGACGACACAGAGGGGCTCATCCCAGGACCCTGAGATCATGACCTGAGCCGAAGTCAGTTGCTTAACCAACTGAGCCACCCAGGTGCCCCTAGCCCATTCATTCCTGAAAAATTGAGATTACTAAGCTAGTTCCATAAGGCAGGAAACCAGACTCTGGTGTATATAAAAACACCAACAAAGACAGTGTGCTATAGCAGAAATTGTATCCCAGTTTTGCATCACACAAAAGTGGTTTCAAATCTAAGCCCGGAAATTTAGTAAATGTGTGATCTTGAACATGTTATTAAAATTCCCTAAATCTCAACTTCCTTATCTCTAATAATCTATATTGAAAAACTACCCAGCTATAGGATTACACTAAGAATTAGATGAGATGTAATATGGGGGGGGAGGTATGCCTCACATCATGCCTGACACATAGTAGGTACCTGGCAACTATTGATATCCTTCTTTCAGTGGCAACCTGAGTTAAACTTAAAATTCTTCTTTGGACTTACACCATTTCTGTAAGCAATGCTGTTTATATTGTTCGTCACGTGATTAGTGATTTTATGTTGTTCTTCATTAACAACCACGCTTGGTAAATCCTACCTCCATTCTCCTCTTAGTAAAAGTTATGTAACGTAAACATTTTCTAAAGAAACTAAGAGTCAGGAAGAACAGGAATGTTCATATTTCCAACAGGTTCCTTTTTCGGAATTCCCAGCTCAGGAGAGGAAACGAGTTAATTTGTGTACCATCAAAACCAAAAGAGAAAAAAAGACTTCCCTATTCACTCTTAAGAAATCTCGTTAACTATTCTACCAGGGCTTCCAGAATCAAGATTTAAAAGAAAAGGAAAAAAAATGAAGTTTCCACACGTTTCGTATCAATAGAAGGATGTTGAAACTGTGCTGGTAAACAGGGTAAGGAAGCAAAAGCCTCATTAGAACCTAATTGTTTTATAATTAACCATACTGGAAGCAGATGCTATCAGGGGGGTTGCTGGAAAGATTTTTGAAGATCACAAGACTAAGTTAAACCAATTATTTACTAAATCTCCTGAAAATATATAGCAGGCACCTAAAAGCATTCTCATTTTTTATTGTTGTCAGAATTGGTCTAAGTCCCGGGCACCTGGGTGGCTCAGTCGTTAAGCGTCTGCCTTCGGCTCAGGTCATGATCCCAGGGTCCTGGGATGGAGCCCCGCATCGGGCTCCCTGCTCCGCGGGAGGCCTGCTTCTCCCTCTCCCATTCCCCCTGCTTGTATTCCCTCTCTTGCTGTGTCTCTCTCTGTCAAATAAATAAATAAAATCTTAAAAAAAAAAAGAATTGGTCTAAGTCCAAATAAATAGTAGAAATGTGATCATTTTTCTCTTGGCTATTAGGTTTGTTTATTTTGCATGTTTCAATCAAGGTAACTAAAATCAAAACCACTTGTATAGATAAATCAATGTAACATTGGAAACTAGAACAATTCACACCCTGTATTTGTATCCACCCTAAATACAAACTACCACTAATTCTACTGAGAGAGAGAGAGATGATAGAGAGATAGATAATAGTTAGATATAGCAAAATACTACTTTTGAACCATTTAAAAATGATTAGATATACATATCTGCCCTAGGCTACTAAGGTAATCCGTGAGCTTCTATATGTCAATGTCATTTTATGGATGAAAAAGAAAACAATGCCCAAGAAAATTTTGTGATTTGCTTAATGATCTAAAGATTTGAAAACCAAAGTTGAAGTGTTTGGATTTTCTTTCTGGGACAATGACAAGTCATGGAAAGTTTTTGATCATGAAGTTTATATTGTCACTAAGATGTCTTAGGAAGGTCATTTAGGAAGTACTTTGCAGAATAAACTGAAAGAGAGAGAAGTCAGTGGCAGGGAGGGAAAAGAGAAGCCTAAATGAAATAATCCAGCAATGAGGTAATTTTCAAAAGAGTGATATGTAACAGGTTTGCTTCCACCAAAAATAGTTCAGTTTGGTTTGCTTTGCTTTCTGGTTTGTTTTGTTTTTGTCCTCCTACCCCATTAGAAATACCTTCTCTATTGTCTCTTCTACTTTAGAGGAAATCTGGCCACTGTCCCTCCCCCTTCCTTCCCATTCTTGGGAACTCCCGCCTTGTGGTTTTTCATTCTCACTTCAGATTCCAGCCTCTGGTTCTGAAACCTCTCTGTCTGTAACTATAGGCGCAGATGTCAGGACTGTCCATAATGTGTCTTATTCACTCGTCCAATCTCTCCACTTGCCGTACATACAAGTTTGAGCCCCTCAGAGAAGCCTCCTCCATGTGCAGCTGTAGACTATGAATCCTTTGTGAGATTACCTCTCAACAAAAGAGAGACACGGGATGTCTATCATCCAGGGTTCCCAAGTAAGTCTTGACTTTTAACCCCACAAGCGCTTTCAAACTGATATGAATTTCTTTGCAGAGAGAAATTGCAAATCCACAAAAAAGTATTTCCTTTTAAAATACCCATTCCTGAGGTTTGGGAGAGCTAGGATAGCCTGACTAGGGGTGCAAGTGTAGAGTCTGTGATTTGGGGCCTGCATTTCAGGGCCCCGTCTTCTTAGGAAGGTTACAAGGTTTCTCATTCTTTTGAGGTATGAGAATATATGGGGTTTTTTTCCCTTTTTCACTGTGAGAATATCTTCCTTCTTTGGGATACATTTTTCTCTTTCAGATAAACTGAAGAAATAGGAATCTTGATGATGAAGGGAAAACATGATCATGTTTATTTTTATATGATCGGTAAGTAAACCTTTATCATTGGTTTAATAAACAGGCAAGAAAATGTCACATATTTGACAAAGCTCACTAACTTTTAAAATTGAAAGATATTCTAAAGTATGTATGCTCTGATTTTCCATTTTGTATTTGAAAAAAGGAAACAGCTCTCTACCTGATAAGGGAATAATTCTTTGATGGACAAAGTATAATAAATTAAAGAATATCCCCAAATTTCCCCGATAAAAACCTTTGAAATACTTGGCAAATCATTCAGAGTTTAAGGATTACCCAATATAAAAAATAATCAATATTATTTTTGGACTAATATGTTTTCTATATTCCAGGATCTAGTTAATGCACCATGTCTATTAATTTCAATATAGGGGAAAAAATATTTTTTAAACCTCTGGCACTTTCTCAAAGTGCTTATCAGATTGTTTTGAACTTCCCTATTGTCTTTATCCACCACTCAACTCTAAGTTCAGGAGGACAGGACAGCATCTGACATGTTCATTGTTATATCAGTGACTAGAGATTGTAGGCTTCAGCAGCTATCTCTTGAATAAATTCAACAACTAACTAATCAATTCATATTTTAACAACAGGGCAGTTTTTTTAAATAAATTTGTTATGTTTTAATATCTTTAAGATTACAGACAAGTAGTGAGGATAGTACAGAGAGTTCTAGTATATCTCCCTTACCCAGTTTCAGTTTCCTTTAAATGTTACCATCTTACCATGGGACATTTCTCAAGACTAAGAAGCCAAGATTGGTACATTCTTACGAAGTAAACTCTAGACTTTTTTTCAGATTTCAATCTCATTCTCCCATCAGGGTTCTTTCTCTGTTCTAGAACCCAAACCAGGGTACCACATTGTATGTAGTCATCACATCACATTAGTGCCCTCTGGTCTGTGACAGTTTCTCAGTCTTTCTTCGTTTTTCATGACCTTTAGAGTTTAAAGGAGTACGTTGATGTATTTTATACAGTATCCTCAAAATTGGCTTTGTCCAGTGTTTTTCTCATGATTAGACTGGGGTTATGGGTTTTTGGAAAGAATGCCACAGAGGTGAAGCGCCCTTCTCATTACATCGTGTCAAGGGTATGTGATTTGCACCTGACATTGGTGGTGATAACCTTGATCACATGGTTACAGTAGGGTTTGCCAGGTTTCTCTACAATAAAGTTATTATTTTTCTCATTCCTTACTCTTTCCTTTGAAAGTGAGTCCGTAAGTCCAACCACATTTAGAAAGGGGAAAAGAAAGTACTTACCTAAATTATTTGGAATTCTGCTAGAAAGATTTGTCTTTTCTTCCTTATTTACTTTTTTATTCAATCATTTATGTATATGATTATTAATATATGTATATCTCCTTTGTATTTCATAGTATAATACTATATTATGCTATTTATCTTGGGGCTCAGATTATTCTACTTTGGTCAATGTGCATTCCTTCAGTTTAGCTCCTGTCCCTTTGACACACTCAATCCTTTACTTTTTGAGCATGTCCTTACTTTTTGATCCCATGAGATGCTCCAGGCTTGTCTTGTGTTTTCCCTGCCCAGTCCTGCAATCAACCATTTATCCAAGGACTCCTAGCTGCTTGTATAGTAAAATGACATTTAGAAACCAAGGTATGTGCACTGATGGTGCTTATGTCTCCTGAGATATCACTGCTTCTTAGACTCTTAGTGGACAAAGCTAAGTAATATATGTATGTTAACCTATATGTAGAACACATGTCTAAATTTTTTTCTATATTAACCCATCTGGGTGTATATTAAGCCATATGTGAATTCAGACTGATGTCTTCAACTCTAATCCAGTACCATAGGATTCATTCTAGCCTTCCCTTCTTGTAACCTCCCACTCCAACAGTGAGAAATATGGCACCCACCATCCACTACCCACTTACTTATTTGTTCAGTATCAGTGTAAATGTAAAGCAGTTTCATAATTGTTAACCCATACCTCCTTGAAAAACAAAATCACCTAGAATACAGTATGTATATAGTTCTTTTGTCTTCACTTTTAACAGTTTTGAGCCAAAACTCCATTTTCCAACTTAGATCAGCTTTTTTTTCCCCATACACTGGTGTTGTTATGTTGTACATTTGTACTATAGTTAGAATCATTGGCCAAAGTCTGCATTCCATCTTGGGAATCTCTAATATCCTGGTGGACTTTTTTTTTACAATTTGCATAGATTAAAGTTCACTATATGTGATGTGCAGTTCCATAGATTTTTGAAAAACACATAAGGTTATACATCTACCATCCCAATGGCATACAGAACAGTTCTATCACCCTAAATTTTTCTTGTATATCCTCTCTGTAGTCAACTACTGCCCCCATCAACCAACCCCTGGCAACCCTGATCTGTTTTCTGCCACTGCAGTTTTGCCTTTTCCAGAATGTGATATGAATGGAATGATACGATATGTAGCCCATGGGAGCTAGCTTCTTTCACTTGTAGAATGTGTTTTTAAGATTCATCATGTTCCTGGGTAAATCAATTGCTCATTCCTTTTTATTGCTGAGGAGTGTACTATTGAATGGATATACCACAGTTTATCCATTTTCCAGCTGAAAAACATCAGTTTTTAGTGATTATGAATAAAACTTCTATAGACATTCACATGCAGGTTTGTGTTTGATTATAAGTCTCAATTCATTCTGACTGGTGTGAGGTGGTATCTCGGTTAGGAAATACCTAGGAGTGTAATTGCTGGGTCATCTTGTAAATCTATGTTTAGCTTTATGAGAAACTGCCAAACTATCGTCAGGGACCTTTTAAAATACTATAATATAGACTGCAGAATAAAAAACATTCTTAAACCAATTCAGCTATAAATTAGATTGTAGCATTAATAGTGTATTATCATAATTTTTAAAACCATGCTAGTTAAAAGCCTCTCTAAAAATGTCTACAATTATTCATGACTGGAGGGCCTTGGGTCAATTATTGTTCAGCTAACATTATCTGTGAATAGTGTTGCATTACTTACATACAAAAATTACCAGGTTAAAGCGCTTTTTGTCTTGAGGGTATTTGTAGCCAATGTAGGTAATTCATAATGACAAACTAATTTCAAATGAAGAATGTGGTAATTCTCTACAAAGCACATTCAAACTTCTGCAAATACTAATGAGCAACTTCTCTGTCCTACTTTAAAGCCTCATGTATCTCAAATATAAGAGCACTAGGCTATTAATTTTAAGAAAAATTAAGTGATGGTCTCTCAGAATTATTAGCAAAGCCCTTCTTTTCTATGTCATATATTTTACATGACACTCTTTCCATTGACTTTCTGGTTTAGGTAAATTGTTCCTAAAAAATTAGGAAGTTATTCTTATATCATCCTCAATCTTCTTCAAGTTCAGCTATATACTTTCTTGGGTATTTTTCTAAATCTGTTTCCTGAAATGTAAACTAACTCGTCAGTTCTTCAAAAGGCAAGGCTGTTTCTTTCATTTCTTTACTTTTCCCTACAGCTCCAGAAAGTCTGAAGACAATTAAGTAGGCATTTTCTTTTTTTTTTTTTTAAGATTTTATTTTATTTATTTATTTGAGAGAGAGAATGAGAGAGAGACAACATGAGAGGGAGGAGGGTCAGAGGGAGAAGCAGACTCCCCGCTGAGCAGGGAGCC